CTTCTAAGAACATTATTTCTGGTATGCACAATTTTGATAAAAATTGAGCAGCTAACAGTTCAAAGTTACATTCTTTGGCAAGGGCCTGCAATACAATTATTCTGTATTATAGGTTGAGGTGACGCCCATGCATTGAAAAATCACCCCGAAAGAAGGTAGGATTGCCATTCTTTTACACATCTTAAGGAGTCATCCACACCTCTGCAGAGTGACCCAAAGCCGGGCCTGTGAGTAGGGCCATAACTTTCCATAGCATGCTATTCTAAGTCAGTCCTAATACCTGAACAAAGAATAATTGAGTCTCCAAAATTGCACTCTGAGAAGCATGGGAATAATGAAAAATTTTAAGTAATAGCTACCAATATCTCTTCATAGCCAGAGAAAATTTTCCAATGGTACATGGATGAAATGTCAAATTTTAAGCTAATGGACTCTAAGAATAAACTAGTTGCAAATTGTGCCCCTTAAGTAACTAAATGAATTGACCTGCAGTGTAGTTGAATTTGGTCAATTACATTCTGTGTCAAAAATGATGATTTGGGCTTTTTGGTGATTGATCTTGGGCCATTTTCCTGATGAAAGATGTTAGAACCTTTCGTTGTTGAGGCTATTTCTGAGTCTTTTTTTTGTTTTGTTAATCCTCACCTGAGGATGTTTTTTCCGTTGATTTTTTAGAGAGTGCAAGGGAGGGAGAGAGACAGAGAGAGAAACATCAATGTGAGAGAGACACATCAATTGGTTGCCTCCCACATGGGTTCCAACCGGGCTGGGGATTGAGCCTGCAACTGAGGTACTCGCCTTTGACCAGGAATTGAACCCACTACCCTTCAGTCCTCAGGTGGACACTCTAACCACTGAGCCAAACCCGCCAGGGCTATGCCTAGAGTCTTGACCATGTGGAAGACATTCTTGTTTTTCTGTTCTCTTCAGCAGGAAGGAAGAATCTAGATCATCCAATTATTAAGAGACAGGTTTAAAAGAGAGCCAGAATGTATCCCTCTATTTTCTCATCTGTCTAATGGGGATGTAATAGTATTGTACTCATAGAGTTATTATGAAGATTAAATATGTAAAAGCGGTTAGAACAGTGTCTGGCACATAAGAAGCATTCAATGTATCTTAGCTATTATTATTGCTGTTATCGTTTCTGAGAGTTTTTGTCAGATTTGCCAAAGTAAGTCTTGCTAACCCTCACTTCATAAAGATAATAAAGGGCTGTTTTTCTGAAGGGATTAGTCACTAGCAGGTCTCCTGAACTAGTAGTATAGATCAGACTGGGACTTGTGCACAGAGTTAGAGGCCAAGGAAAAATCAGTAATTAAATTTGCATACTGCCTTAATATGTTTTTAATAGATCTCTACAGAGGCTGATACCATCAATTGTAAAATTATGATTTCTAAAGGCTGTTGACTTCTCAGTAGAAAAAAATGGCTTGAGAAATTCGGATTTAATTTTTTAAAGTAGAAATGGAATATAGCCCTTTTAAAAATGGCATAGAGTTTATTCTATGTTCATTCATTTGAGATCATACCAGTTTTATCACTAGAGGAAGCAGACTGGCAGGATTTGGAACACACCAGCCATACTGGGCTTTGGACAGCTATAGGGCCAGGAAGTTTACCCTGGGGTCTTGACATAACTTGGATATTGTAACACTGAGGCTAGGAATGCGGGTTTTGCAATTAGACGGGCCTGGATTGGAGTCAGGGCTCTCTCCCTAGCTGTGAGCTCTCCAGCATGTTACTCGATCTTCTAAGCTGCAGTTTCCTTGCCTATAAATCAAGGTAATAGCACCCACTGATACCGTTGCTGGGAGGTTTAAATAAGAGAATGTGATGAAATAAC